CTGATCCCGAGCCCGCTTGCCCTTGGATGCAACCTTTGCCGCAGCTCCATCGGACTGCGAACCCTTCTCTGAGTCCGAGATCTCGACGACAGCCGGCTTCGTATTGCCTTTGGCCTTGGCTTTGGCCTTAGCCTTGGCCTTAGCTTTGGCCTTAGCTTTGGCCTGGGCTTTCGCCTGGCCTTTCGCCTCAGCCGGTTCACTCGAGCCATTGGCCTCAAGCTCGCCGTGTTCATCCTGCACTGCCTGCGACACGGCAAGCCGTTTGTCCTCCGCCTTGCCATTCTTCCACTTCTTGACCGCCTGCGGGTGCGGCGAAAAATAAATCCCGAGCCTATAAAGAACAGAGACATGAAGGACCTCAAGAAGAACAGAGACATAAAGGACCTGAAGCCTGGCAAAAACCAAGCCTGTCTTATAAATAGAGAACACACCAGGAGCCCGTGTACAGTCTCCTCTGTATCAACAAAAACTCGAAAACCATTGCGTGCCGCTGCAGGGCCTGGTTTATCAACCCGACCTGCCCCCCCCCCCTCACCATCAAAAAAAAGGCAATGCATGGAACATGGAGGACCTGAAGCGGGGAAAAACAAATTATGAACCCGACCTGCCCCCCCCCCCTCGCCTGGAAAGCAGCGGTTTTCAATTTCTGGCTCGGGGGCGAGTCCTGCATGGCAAGCTGAAGTGCCTGAATGGCCATGTTCTCGCCACCTTCCATGAAGCTGTGGTCCCGAACGATCGGCTCTGGCACCGTGGCCGACTCTTGGGAATCCCGGGAACTCCCAAAGCTGACTGTAGCAGAGACTAAGGCTAAGCTCGTTGAAGTCGGCCCGACCTCTTCTTCAATTGTGGCAGTGCTTGGCTCAGACATCAACTCTAGAAGCTGGCGAACGGAGTCCCTCTGGGTGGCAGTCGCCTGCTTCTCCCACGGATACCTCGGGCACATATATTTTATGATGCATACATACATGGACACGATCGCATAAATTGCGAGTAAGCGGCTTAGGCATCTCCCTCAGCTTCGCCAGCTGAGTACGGATGACAGTGCCGATGTCATCCAGCCACTCTCGCTGCAGAGCAGCACTGCCTCCGGGACCCGTGAGCCGGTGCCTGCCGTGAAGCCCCAGCAGAGCAGCATCCAGCTTGCTTTGCGACAC